TTTTTCTTTTGTAACATCATTCAGGATATAAGAATTGGAATAGATACATAAAAGAATGTAAAAATGACTTTATCATATAAATATCATTAAAATAAATATCATTAAAAACAACATGAGAATATTATTTGTATCGTATTACGTTTAAATTCAAAATATTTAAAGTAATCGGTAAATTGAAGTATTTGAAGTAAGCAGTTTTTTCTTAATGTATGGAAATTAGTTCGGAAGGTGTCTCCACAATCGCTCACAACATGACAGTGAAAGTAAATAACATACATAAATACAGTTTCTGTTTTAAGTTACCAGAAGTTACATCGTATTAAAATAGAAATTATATATGGTCAAAAATGGGTATGTAAAAAAAGTGAAATAAATGAAAGACAGTCATAAATTTATTTAAATTTTCTCACTTTAGATGATCTTGAACAACAATGTGAAGACGCTTTATTTGAATTATGTGATGCTCGAGAACGTTACCCGCTTAAGTGTGCTAAAGAATTTCGAAAATGTATACAACTTAAAAATGAGATACAAGTAAATAATTATTTTTAACAAATTTAAAACCTTAAAAGTATTTGCATGAAGGAATCTAATACACTGTGAATATGTATCAGCTGTTATGATCTTCATATTATCTTATATAATAAAAGTATTAATTAGTTCTCTTATGAAGTATCTTATATATTATTTACATAAAATTTGAATATTTGTTCTAAACTAAACTAAACTCAATTCTTACAGATGACAAGTGTGATTCAAAAATCAAATGTAATTGATGACACCTTGGAGCAAAGTGTACATGTTAATGGTAACTTTAATAAAAAAGAAGTTTGTTTCGAATATTTTGATTATAAACTGCAAAATATTATAAATAAATTAGATAATTTGAAGGCTGTCAAAGAACAAATTAACAGAGAGAAAACATGTGAGATTAATAAATTATTAAAAAATTGATTAAGTTATAAAACTTATACTAATACTTATAAGACTTATAAAAAATATTGCGTTCAAAATAATATTACCTTTTTATTTATCATTCTCATTCAATGAATGGGTAATACGTATAAAATATTTTAAACATATGTTTATATTTTATCTTTAAGCTACAAATTATACCTAAAATATCTTATGTGACACTTATATAAATTATTTTAATATTCTTCTAACAAATTTCATTTCATTGCATGGTTGTTGGTAATGAAGAACTTTTTGCTATTATGCTATGAATTCTTTTTGTACTCATACGTCTTACTACAACTTTGGCACCTTTAGTAATATCATGAAATAATTTGATCATTTCTATATGCGTCTCAGGAGTATTTGGTTTTCGATTCATATTTTCAGATTTTATTCTAGATCTTAAGTTCAAACGCTGTTCATTCTTTTTCCTTTGTAAATATAAAAGATCTTGATAAAATTGTTGTGTAACATCCTGTATTTCACATGACGATGACTGTTCTGTTGTATTGGTACTATCAGAGTGCTTTTTTAATTTGTCTTCTTCCACTTTCAATATCTTTTCAATGATACTCAACCCTTTTTGCTCTCTTTCTAATGTTACAGGTAATGCATTTTCATTGGAAGTTTTACTATTGTTTGTTACAGAAGTTTCAGAACACCCCGAAATTTGTATATTTTCTGATATATTATAATCCAAATTTTGGTTTTCCTCTGTTTTATTTGTATTGCTTAAAGGAGTATGCTTTGATAATAATTTATTTCTGAGTATTTTTTGTAATGGAAGAGGTATTTGGTCTGTAGCAATAATTTCATTTGAAATTATTATTGGGACATTTGATTTACATTTCTCATGTTTGTTTTTTGAAAAAGGATTATATTCAGTTGTTACTCCAAATTTGATTGTTGATTCAGTATTCACATCATCCATTAATAAATTTTTATTTATTATGGTCTCTTTAGAGTTACTTATTCCCTCAGGTTGGAAAAGATTATTTTGCAATGCTTCTGGTACAATATCTTCCTCTTCTTCTTCTTCATGTTCTAAATCTTTATTCTGTATTGATTTTATATCTTTTTCAGTGTGCTGATTCTTGTTTTTAATATTAGAATCTTTATCTAAAGATGTATTAGTAAATCTTGTTGACTGACATTTTGAAATATTTTTTTGTATAATTACATTTTTACATTTTTGTTCAACCTCAGTCTTTTTAGGTAATTCGATCATTGTTATTAAATTCTCTAATCCAAGCAAACTGGAATTTCGTAAACATTTTTCTCCTTTTTTGGTTTCAATTTTTTCAGAATTTTCTAATACTTCATCTACCTCCAATTTCGTTTTCTGTTCTATGACTGCAACAGCATCTTGTCCTTGCCGAATAGTAAACATTAATCCTTCCATTACCAAATCTGTAATATCAGAAGACCTCGGCGTCATATTGCACGATCTACGTTTTCTTTTCGCAATAGGATCTGAATCCTCGGTTTCTGAAACACTTGTATCCAAATCTATAGAAGGCGCGGAATATTCTTCAATTACTTCTCTTTTACGTTTCTTGGAATTGTGTGATGAAACTTCAGAATCAAATATGTTTAGTTTTGCATCTTCAATTTCTCTTTCAATCAGGTATTGATATGGTAAATTAGTAGAATCTGTATTAGAAGATTCAGTTACACCATTAGTAAATTCAGATATACTGTCTTTTGTAATATCTCCATCTACTACACACAGTTCATTATTATAATCTTTATTTTTAATAGTATCTTCCTTTGAGCAATTTAAATTTTCTAATTCACTGGATGTCGTTCTATTTGCTTCAGTTATAAATACTGATGAATATTTGTCACTTATAGTACAATTATTTTCTTCCATCAATTTTTTATTGGAATCTTGTAAATGCTTACTCGAATTTTGTATATTATTAGCTTTTACATTTTCGGATAATTCATTAGAACTTAGGGATGATTGGATCTTATTAATATCTTTGTCACATGTTATCCGTTCAGTCAACTCTTTATTCATGGAGGTTTTTGTCAAATTATTATCTGCTAAATTATCATCTAATTGAACATCCGTATTTTTCAATTCTGTTACTTTTTCTTGTTTGTTATCACACTGTTCACCATGTTCTTGAAGATTCACAGAGTCTTTAACATTCCAAAGTAAAGACTTATCAGAACAAGATGTTTCACCACATTTTATGTTTTGTTCTGAACTTTCCAAAGGCGATATCAATTTTATAGTAAGAACAAATGCATGAGAAAATGGTGTGGCAGATCTTTCCTTAAACTTTGTCATTGCAAATATTTTATCCTGTCGGGTCCATGAAGTATGATCTATGTTAATACAGACTAAGGTTAAGAAATTTTGAATAAACAATGTTGTATTTAGTATTTATAAAAAATATTGTTAGTATGTAAGTGGTACACTTATTATAATATATTAAGTTTATTTTGAATTCAGAAGAAAAGGATACTATAGGTAACTAATAGATGGTTTGTACTAAATTGTTGCCCTTGACGTGGAAGATATTTTATAATCCTTCTAATTATTTTCATTAATTCTTTTCCAAAAGTAAAATGTTCTTCCTTCCTGGAAATATGTATATCCTAAAATCTATAAAATTTAGTAATTGCATTGACATTAATAATACTACCTTGTTGTACGTCGATATTTAAATATAAATTTATATATACTATTTTTATGACACAACCAATATGAACCAGGCACTGTTAAAATTGGACTTTCCCTCTGTTGTATCCAATCAATCCAGCTAGTCTCTCGTACATATATTCCAGGCATTTTCTTTCAGGTATCAATTCTTGAAATAACGGAATTAATTTTATGGAATCCTTTCCACCTACTGATTCTTTTATCACTATTGTAAGGTAATATAATACCCTTTGCTAGAAATATAAACATAATGTATGTATGGTATATAAATTTTCTAATATTCTTATTAAATGAAGTGATTATTTAATATTAATTAATACTTACTCCTGTTATAACTTCATTGATGATTACATCTACTATTATATCCCAGGGAACAAACTTACATGAACTTATACCATAGAATATTCGTTTACTCTCTGTATATATACCAATAGATTCTACTATTGTTAATGTATCTACAAAAGAAAGAATAAAAGTTAATATGATACAAATATGTTTATGAAAAATAATTATTGAACAAACCTTTTTTCACAGAAGTAATAAAACAAATACACTGTAGCACTAAAATTAATATACAACCAGCAAATGGTATTACAATGTTAAATGTCCTCCACAATAACAAGGTTATAATTAATAAAAAGATAGCAACATTGACATTAAAATGAATGTCTTTATATAAAATAAATTTCATAACATTTTTAGATTTTGTATTTTTATCTATGAGCTTCAAATTACATCCATTCACATTTTGAAAAAACAATTCATGTGATGACCCATCTTTTAGAAATATGGATGACATTAATGAAAATTGTTCACACTACTACTACCAACAGATAGTTTAATAATTTTCATTAAAAAGAATTAAAGAGTGTTTAACATTTGCTGCTATAATACACAGTATTATAGTTCACAGTATAAAATGGGTACTAATATATTAGATTTAAATATAAATCTATGTGACAGCTGAATTTTAAGTGTATAATTATAATGTTATTGATAAGCATTGAATATTATATAACGTGTAATATAACTATTGAATACGTGTATGTTTGTATAACTCATATACAAACACGAATAGTATGTGCAATTTTGTTAAGATATATATTAATTTATAGTACCATCAAAGTTGATAGCCACACATATATGTTTCAGGTGAAAACACAATGCAGCATATAACATTAACCATTTAGATTTGGAAAACGCGTTTATGTTTATACAGATAAATGAATGTATTAGCAGTATTAAAAAACAATGTCCATAATAAAAATTCTATTTCAATTGAGTCATGCACGATAATATATATTATTTTAGTTAAAAAGACTCAAGCTTCTATTATTGTCCATTGAACACAGATTCTACTTGGCGATCGAAATAGCTGTTCATCCTTACTCTTACAATATCATAGATGCCAGTCTAATCGAGAGGTATATTTTTAAATAGCATATATATATATAATACTTTTTGAACTATTTCAAATAAATATTATGTACCACGGACAAATTTAATGTACATAGCAATTGTTGATAATCAAATTTCTAATTAATATTTAATTTTTTCAAACTATCAAATGGAATGATGGTATAAGAGATAGCGCCACATACATATTGTGGCGTCATCTAATGACAAGAAGATAACACTTCCATCAAGAAAAAAAGTCAAAACTGTTGTTTATATAGCCTTTGCTTCTCGCCGATTTCCTGTTGAATCCAGTCATTATTTTTCAACTTCTAACACACCAAATTAAAACTGAAAGATTTTACTGTAAAATAGAATTACTGCCAATAAATAGAAATTACGATGCATATTAAAACTTACATTTCATTTTGCAGGATCAGAAGGGAGGCTGTTTTCACAATTCAAAAATTGTCTAAATTCCCGCAAAGTCAGCGTCATCTAGAATAAAACACTCAAACTATTAGCTGTTTGTCACAGACTCTAGAAACGTAGGTAAGTAGGTACATATATATGCATATGGAATTATATGCACACACTGTATATACGTATAGAAGTACCAGTTAAACATGGCTAATGCACTATTGTCATTAATAGAGCCACCACGTTTTTCTTAGATTTCTTAAACGTTTATGTAACTAGCATTTTTTATATGACAACTGTATGAACGATTTGAAATCCATCAATAATATGAATGTAATTTGAAAATATGTCTTTAGGACGTGAACTTAGATAGGTGTATCTATAATGTGTTTCGTGAATATTGGTACGAAACATTTCTAAATTGATAACAAGTTAGAATCAATTATTTTCCGGGTCTACGTATCAGGAATTTGGTCCCACCCTGTATAAGAGGTGCGCAGACGTGGTATTCGTTTCAAATCGCTGATATACCGTCCAATAGAGCGAGTGAAACAGCACCTGCTGCCATTCTGGCATTACGTCAATGGTGGACGTCTCATTCGCTGGATTGGGAGGAGTTACCGTGACCGCCATTGTTACAGCTCCTTCGTATTGCAGAACGTGATCTGTGAATACCGTGTCGTCCCATTACCTTTTTAACAAATTTGTGTCTACGACGTAAATTTCAGCAACGACGGTATACGGCATCAGTAAGAGTGTTCTGAGCGTAGCATGTCCACAATGAATCCCGAGTAGTGAGTAAACTTCTTTTTGCGCAGACATAAGTGTATCGAAAAACGTTCGGTTCGTGAAATATGTAATCGATTTGGTCCCAGCCTCGACAATGATTACGCTCAAACAGGTTGAGTCATCTTCGTCGCGTCTTGTTTTGTTACGTTAATACGAAAAAATTCGGTTTAACGTCTACTATCTGACAGATTCACCTTCCCCTCCCTTCCTTCTTCTTATCCTTGTTAGCCATATTTCAGAAATTTATCCTCTGTTGTGATTTCTTTATTTTCCAATTAATCAAAACACACCTCGTCGTTTCTCGATTAATCGGTGAGAATACGATATTCAAAAATTTCTGGGCAATTCGTATAATTACAGACGGAATTTATTAAAATCATTTTTCAGAGTTTGCTTTTTAGACAGTTAATGTAGTAAGAATGAGGCAAAGTTCACTTGTTTGAGATAGATACTAACTTTTGTTATTGCATCGAATTGTGTATGTATTGATTATATGAATTGTATTTTGTTCAGTTATCATGGGGTTGTATAGTATGTGTATTTTACAAAGGACACTGAAACTGATCTTTTTTCTATGAAAATTCATTGTGAAATCAGTAGCTAATAAAATGTAATTCTTTAACATATATTTAGCACCCCATGTTTTTCTGTTACCATTGACGCTTTATATTTGTAATATAATTGTGTATTGTAATTGTTTTGTTATATAGTATCACACAACATTTGCTTGTAATTATAATGACCTATCATAAACATAATATGTTATTAATTTATTATATACACTTTGTGTTGCATAAGTTGAGAGTATTTTTGTAAATTTAATGGACCATCTGTGTCATTATATTGGTTTTTAAAAATTATAAATTGTTTGTAGTTCATTGATGATTAAGACATGAATAAATTTTAATGAATCACCGATCAATTTTTATTAATGTGTATACATTAATTTATTCTTTATAATATAAAATAAATAGTTAAAGATACAATTAGTTATATATATATATATATATATATATATATATATATATATATATATATATATAGTTATATATTAAAAGTGATAATACAGAGTTACACGAAATTTAATTTGAAAAATATTTTTGCAGTGATTATTTGTTTAAATTGCTGTTAATTGGAGATTCAGGAGTTGGAAAATCTTGTCTATTATTACGTTTTGCTGATGACACATACACAGAAAGTTATATCAGCACTATTGGTGTAGACTTCAAGATAAGAACAATTGATTTAGATGGGAAGACAATAAAATTACAAATTTGGGATACAGCAGGCCAAGAACGATTCAGAACAATTACAAGCTCTTACTACAGAGGTGCACATGGTATTATTGTTGTTTATGACAGCACAGATCAAGAAACATTTAACAATGTTAAACAGTGGCTGGAAGAAATCGATCGTTATGCCTGCGACAATGTTAATAAGCTGCTGGTCGGCAATAAATGTGATCTTCATGCTAAAAAAGTAGTTGATTACACAATAGCAAAGGTGATTAAAATAATTAAAAAGATTTAATTATTACAACTTTTAATTAATTATAAATTTGATGGTAGAATTATTTGCATATTGTTTTCTTAATAGGAATATGCAGATCAACTCGGTATTCCATTCTTGGAGACATCAGCAAAAAATGCAATGAATGTGGAACAGGCTTTTATGACAATGGCTGCAGAAATAAAACTTAGAGTGGGACCTCCATCCAGTGGTAACAGTGATCCAGCAAATAAAGTGAAAATAGAACATGGACGTCCAATTGAGCCTTCCAAGTCTGGTTGCTGCTGAGAAATGTAATTCTATATTTGCTTAAGGAGGTATTCCCATTCGGAGTCGTTAATTTTAAACAAAGATTATTGAGTTATTTATAGATCAAAGATTTTATTATTTTGTATACACATCTCTGTGCATCTTTTAAGACAACATATTGTAATTTTTATGTAATTTTCATTATTATTTATTAAATTGTTTTATATCTTTGAATTCATGATTTGCCGCGATTTACGTCGTTATATTCATGTGGAAATAAAAATCAAAGATAATCTTAATATGTATAAATCTAGTTATTTTGTAAACTTGAATAAAGTCAAAAATATTAACCAAAAAAACAGAGCTTCATTAACATTGTAATTTGTTTAGGTGATAAAAAACTAGTGCCGATATTGACAATTTTAGTTCGCGAGATAGCTACTTTTATGTAAATTAAGATTATCGATTTTATCTTTCCAAACGAATACAACAGCTTAAAGTGTGGCAACCATTGAAACTTAACATACATTGGAACATACATAATATTTTAATTAATAACAAAGATAATTGCATAAAAATTATAGTGTGTCACCTTCAAAGATTAGTACTTCAACCAAACATGTATACAAAATTGTAAAATGCTCAAACTATGTTAACCAAAGAATTATTTATTTTACAAATAGTTTAATATCGTCGAACAACGAATGAGAATACTCCCTTAACCAAAGTGAGTAATTTCATAATTGATCATAAAAATGATTAGAATAAACAATGTCTACTTAAACACTAATGGCAAATATTTCAATTACAGGACATCTTATGGTAGCAGTGTTGCACTGCTTAAAAAAAGAACATCATCGGAAGAAATGTGAAAGAAGTTTCAGTTTACATTAATAAAAAGAAAAGAGGTGTGAAGCATTATCAATTATGGACCACCAACTCTGTTACAGAGTTGAATAAAAATAACTTTGTTCTTTCTTTTTTTCAATAAGAGGAGAACATGATTAATCACTCGCTAACATACCTAGTGCAAAAAATCGACCATAGGGAAATTCGTCGAATTAGCATTAAAGATCATTGATTTTATGCAATGATACGTTTAACGGCAATTCGAGTTTATAAAAGTAAATTAAATAATATTAAGTGTATCGTGGTTATAAAGATAAGCACTCTTATTTTTTAGTGTAATTATAACATATATAATTGAATGTTTTTTGTCTTAGAAAAGGGAATTATTCTTACCCCTTTGTATTACCCAAACATTTTTCCATGTTTTATTCCAAACACTTTCTTAAGGTAAACAAGAATTAGATTAATAATGTACTTAAACGTGCCGTCATTGCTGCCTCCCTCTTTTTTCAGTGCTCATCATTAGTGTAATTTAATAACATTATACTAATAAATATGTGAAAACTAATATACAAATCGCAATTAGCATACCTATGCATACAATGATACTTGCAACAAAACACAAGTTTTTTATTGGACTTATGCTACTTGCGATATTCGCAATATAATTCGCCTATTATAAATACATCGTGTCGTTTGAGAAGTTTTCGAACATTTAATGAATATTCGATATCTTTCATCTCGTTTCTACAAAATACCGTGCATATTCATACAGCTATTTGTTTCATACGAATTTGTACGATTAAAAACTTAGTTAAAATACTACTTCTCTTTTGTACTAATTCCTTATTGTTCTAAAATAACTAGTTAACGTTATTTTATATTGCATACTTATTACTTGAATATTTTTACGTTATTATGGTAGAATTAATTGTGGATTAAAAAGTTAGAATACTTTAGCGGAACTTTATAATACACAATGATATTACCAAAACAAATTTTGTACACCATATATTCTAATTTTTATTAAAAATGAAAAATGGTATTTTATACAAAAAAACCGATGTGTATTACAATTAATCTCGTTTTTGTATTGTTACGAAAAAAAAAGTTTTTATGAAAACAAAGTAACTATATTTCGAAATAATTAATTATATCAATTAACAAATAGGAATGTATAAAATTAATTGTAACGATGACATATGTAATACTTAGGTGTATGACTATAAAAATAAAAATCACGTGTATGTTGTAAATTATTTGCCAATTATTATGATATATGCTTAGCAATTATTTTTAGTAATATTATTATTCACATAGCGTAAGATAATATATAACGACTATTAATATTGTTATTAAAATTTCATATGAAACGTTCTCTTTGGACTTGATTTTGTGAAATATGTAGAAGTAACATGCAACTGTCAAACGATCGTAAGATGAACCGAATTTTATAAAACCAGTACGTAATAATAAAGAATTAATAATAATTTTTTATTGTAATTTACTTATTTTCACATATTTATCGATCTGTTCAATATTCATTTATTTTACGGTGAGATTGTAACCATACTCTTCATAACCTTACCACTGTCATTCAAAGTTTGTCAAAATGATGCAACAATATATGAAGGAATTAGAACAGGTAAATTATTGTAAAACTATTAAAATGTTAGAAATGATTAATATAACATTAATGATAATATTTTCTATTACAATGTTTTCCTTTTCTTAAGGATCCATTTGATCCTGAAGAGTTTGTTGAAAGACTTGCTTGGAGAACAGTTAATGACACTACAAAAGACAGTGGAAAAACATTTTTCGATCCCATGATAGTACATGAAACATTTCTGCAGGCAATAAAAGACTTGCAAGTTTTGCAAGAACGTCAACAGAAAAAATGTGATAAACTTGAAACAGCATTGAAAGATGAAGAAGCGAGACATATGCTTGAAATACTTGAGTTACAAGAAAGAAACAAACATTCTATTGATTTATTTCATCAGTTAGATGAAAGAATAAATCTTGTAGCTACGAAGGTTTTGCATTTAGGAGATCAGTTAGAAAGTGTTAATACTCCTCGGGCTAGAGCTGTCGAAGCTCAAAAGTTGATGAGACACTTCTCAGATTTTTTAAGTCCTGGCCCTTTGACAGATCCAATTTTTACTGATAAGTCATCGGTATGAATGCTTGTTTCATATATCTAATACATAACTATAACTGTTAACTATTATGAAAATTAAAATTTTTTATTCTGGTACAGCTAGATGAAGCAGCAGATGTGATACAAAAACTTCATCTTATTTCCCAAGAATTGCCTTCTGAGAAGTTTGAACATGCTAAGAAAAAGATTGCTGTTAAATACGATGAAATTGAAAGAAATTTAATTGAAGAATTTGTTAGAGCACACAATAGAGAAGATGCTAATCGTATGAGAGAATTAGCATCAGTTCTAGCTCATTTTAAAGGATATTCCCAATGCATTGATGCGTTTATAGAACAAAGTCAAATGGGTTCATTTGGTGGAAAAGATGTTTTTCAAGATGTGATACCAATGTGTACTAAGTACCATAAATTGATGCAACAAGTATTCACAAATCCTGAACAAGTGATGGCAAAATTTGTGTTGAATATTTACCATTTAAGACTCCAGAAGTATGCTGTTGCTAAATTAGCAGATAAAAGTGATCCTGAGAAATATCTCAGAAACTTATACGATTTATACACAAGGACTGTGAAACTGTCTGTAGAATTAAAAATGTTTAACATGGGTACTGATGATACTTACCTCTCAAAACTTACTAGAAATATATTTCAGAAATATTTGGATACATATGTTATGTAAGTTCATGAGATAATTAATATATATACATATATATTACTTATGATATATGAAACTAATTTATACAGTATTCTAGCGTTGAAACAAAATCATTAAAAGAAAAGTCAGCAGCTCTTCTTATCGAGTATTATGAATCTAAAAATCACCAGAAGAAACAGCTGCAAACTGGTGGTTTCCAAGAATTAAGGAGAGATTTACAAGCAGTTCTAGGCGCAAGAACTAATATAAATATCGCTCAAATAGAAAATTATGGTGGGGAGACATTCTTGTCAGAAGAACTTGCAATTGCTCTATTACAGAGAAGTAAAATGGCATTCCAAAGATGCCAGTTATTGTCGAAACCAGATGAAATACCAATAAATGCAGTTCAAATTCTGGAAATATTATTGCAATATTTGATAAGCGAACATGTTGATTACGCGTTAGAATTAGGTTTACAGAGTGTACCAATTCCCGAAAGTAGAACTCAACCAGAGATACATTTCTTCAATGTTGTACGCCAATGCAATGCAATTGTGCGTCTCTTAGAAGAACAGTTTAATGACAGTCTCATACCTCTTGTCATGTAAAATCCTCTTCTTCTGTTTTCTAAGTACTATTACAAAGATGTGTACTAGAAATATAATATTTTTTTTTTCAGGTCAACAACAAAGCACGGAGATTGTATGTTAAAGAAAAAGATCGTACTAGACCAAGTAGACATAAAACTAGAAACAGGTTTAGATAGAAGTATAAATGCTATCGTCGGTTGGGTAAAAGTGTACTTGCAAAATGAGCAACGTAAGACTGATTTTAAGCCTGAAACTGATGTTGATACTTTGAGTACTCCAGCTTGTTTAACAGTGGTCCAGTATGTTACTGGAATGATTCGACATATTCGGAATACTTTAGATGGAAAAAATTTAAATAATGTTCTAACTGAGCTTGGAGTTCGATTTCATAAAGTTATTTATGATCATCTGCAACAATTTCAATTCAACTCTGCTGGTGCAATGTGCGCGATATGCGACATGAATGAATACCGTAAATGCGTCAAAGAGCTTGAAGTTGATATAGTTACTACGTTATTTGATACTTTACACGCTTTATGCAATTTATTATTAGTTAAACCAGAAAACTTAAAGCAAGTTTGTACAGGCGATCAATTGGTACGTTATACGATCTTAGCATGTTCCCGGACAGTAAAAATTTTAATGAGCTGCAAATATATTCGGTATTGAGCTACAGTACTCCGAGGGTTAAAGTGCATAATAATTTCAAAAAATTAAGGCTATATAGAATTAAATGCATGATACCGTAGCTTATAAATTTGAATGTTACAGCATTCATGTCATTTTGCATCATAATGAAAATGAATGCTATAACATTTACGTCCGCGAACATGTTAATTATAATATAATATGGTCATAACGTAACTACAAAACTTTATTAAAATGACTTTTATTGTTACAGGCAACATTGGATCGTAATGTTTTAGTGAATTTCATACAACTAAGAACCGATTACAAGACACAAAAGTTAGCAAACTGTTTGAAAGGTTTAGCTACATGATATTGTTTGTTTTCTATAAAGATATTTATGTGCTGCTAACCATTAGTGGAAGTATATTATATATGATGTTAAAAATTAAAAGCACAGTCAGAACATTACAATTATGCAAATGAAAGCATAATAAATGAGAATGTTATTTTAAGTATAATAATAATACTTCATTACATGTTCAGTTGTACAGAATTTTATCAAAAATGCTTTGTAACTACTGACATATATTTATAAAGTAGTTATTTTTTTTATTTTTTAGGGATTAACTATGTATGAGACAAAATTAATAAATATTCTCTCATTCCATAGTTGTTCAATAAATATTATATGTATTTGTAGCAAATGTAGTAATTTTATTGATATATAAGATGGTCATTAAGGATTGTTTCTTGTTCCACGAACGATTTATAATTTTAAAAGAAATCGTCATATATACAGGCAATAACTAAGTATAAAATTTATTGTACCAAACTTTTTCTCATGCTGATTCCTTTAATTCTTCTTAATGCGATTTAACGTTAGCTTATTATTTGTCAAAAATTTTGAGAAATTAAATTATTATTAAAGCACATTGCATTTCATTTTGCTACAATTTGTAATTAATTTCTGCAGCGTTTTTTGGAGAGTACCTTCGTTTTAAATGTAGTTCTCTTGTATTTATGTTTATATTTTATTTTTCAACTCTGTGATTATTTTCATTACATAAATTATGCTGGATTCAAAATTCGGTAAAAAAAGAAAAATCTTAAAATATTTTAAGATGTTTCTTAAAAAATACACTTTTGTAAATGTAATATTTAATATAATAAATTCAATTTTTAAAATGAAAATGAATAAAATTTAATACTAACCAAAGATATTAATTGTCTATATACCTTTTTATTTACATGCATATTTGAATCAAACAGGATTGTTAAATATGATACAAATTGAAATTTGAATGGCTTGACAAAAAGAACATCATCTATGTATGTAAATATAAATACTTATGCGTTTAAAATGAATAGAATTTTAATCATTATTTTTTGATCTTTTTCACATTGTAATAATCACACAAATTTGACAATTCAAGTAATATTAACATATAAAATTTTTGTGTAATTGAATTTATTGAATATTAAATTAAGCATGTGATACGATCTCATGCTTCATGAAAAGGTTATAAAAACGTTGCATCTTTTCTGTTTTAATAGTGGTATTAGTAACTTAATTGTTATGTACAAAAATTAAGTTAATATCAGTATTTTATTAATGAGAAAATATTATATGATATAAATATCACTGTCATCGAGCACGTTAATAGAAAGGTGCTGATAAAAAGAATAATACTAAAAATAATGTTCAATTTACTATGAAATTAACAAATAATAATAATAATATTATTAAACTTTGTTGCTTGTCATATTCGCATAAATGAGTAATTTCAAATTATTTCCAGAAATTTAGTAATACATATATTTTATACGCTATGAATTGAAACTGAAAGTTTTTGTTAAGAATACGGTACAAAAATGTAGTAAATAATAATTGTATCTTTTTAAATAGATTAATAAAGACTTTATACCTAACATTAAATCAGTATCGATTCAACAGCTTAAGGTGCGAGTTACATGCAAAATAAGAAAAGAAAATATTAAAATATGCAATAAAAAATGGTCACAAGGAAGAGTAAAAAATATGAACTTATTATACCATTCATACTTCTTAATGCACTCTTACATAAAGTATCATGTTGAAAATATACATGTTTGTAACTAAGTTGTATATCAATATTTTTCTGTAGTAAATGTTATCATAAATTCTAACTGGGTTAACAAAGATTCTTAAGCGGGAAGCCTCTAAATTCCTTAGAATTATGGATTAAAACCAATTAAATAATTCACACCATTCATTGTACCGTACTATTAAACATTATTAAATCATCTAAGTCAATAATAATCAAAGTCCTGGTCTTCTATTTGATTATACAGTTTTATGATCCATGAAAATAAAAGGAAGATGAATTGTTTTATAGGCATCAGCGCATACGATAAGTATTAGTTTCATGTACTTGGCACAGTTCTCCTTTAAAGTCTAATTCAATGCTGAAATCCAGATCTCTATAATTCCTTGCGTTAGGCTTCATTGAAAACACACCATATATTTCTTCTCCCTTCTTGACCGTCATATATTCATCGAAGTAGAACACAGTTTGCTTCCAGTGAGTATACTGTACTTCTGGCGCCGTGCTAAATCCGATACGTTTATGGCACTTGGTGAATTCGATGTTGAAGAATGTAACTAGTGCTTGTACATAATCATTTCTACGAACTTGTAGAGTAAATGGGGAAGAGAATTCCAAATCAGCCTTGGTTACTGTGTATAAATCGACTTCCTTAATTAAACATGCGTTTGTAACAACTTGTTTTGGATCCACAACATCCACTAAAGGTTCGCTAATTGCTACTTTTCTTATACTACTCATATCAAATCCATATACATCATCCCACCAGTTAATCTTCTCATCTTTGTACTGCCGGTCCTCAATCCCACAAATAAATAATGTTGCTTTGTCGGGGAATAGCATTCCATCTTCGCGAAGCCATTTATCTCTGGCGAATAGCACTGTGTCTAACATTGATTCATAAAACAAACAATAACCCATCCATTCAGAAATAATTATGTCAACTTTTTCTATGCCATCTGGCAATGAGACTTCTTCAACTTTTCCTTTTAGTATCGTTATTACGTTTGATAATTGATTTGCTTCTACGATCTTCTCCGCATATTCAACAATATTAGAACACTCAATCCCAATAACTCTAGCTGCTCCAGCTTTAGCAGCAAACATTGAAAGGATACCAGTTCCACAACCAATATCAAGAACGGTTTTCCCCTTGAAAAGGTGTTTATTATGATACATTGAGTTCCGGTAGGTCACTGTACGCACTTCATCCTTCAGCATTTCTTCATGAATTCCGTAGTGAGCATATGAATCAAAATAATAATCTCTGGACGTCATGTCTTCCACAGAAACAGACTCTTTACAAGAAGATGGAATAGCATCTTTGTTAGATGCAGGAGTAGTGGTCTCTGTTACTTCCATGGATTCCATTTTTAATGTCTGTAACAGTGTAAATTAGTAAAAATACATTAATAATTATATACACGTTGCGTCGAAGAATCTATCTACTCTATGACCATAAAATTGAAATTAAATTAAACTATATTTATAGCATTTGCTCAAAAATCGTTATTGTTAATTAGAGAATATACATATATATTGTAAAATACAAAGAATAACTGTTTTATGTACCCGTGAAAAAGCTTACAGTTATCTACAAACACGTGACGTACAATTATTATCTCAAACTAAGAGATATAATTCTTTCTGCATCTAAATGTAAGAAGAATGATTATAAAACATTATTTACAATGTTATTCATCGGTTATGGAAACTACTAAATATCGCAGTATTCGTGGAAAGGCAGTCTTTTACGCCGACACCGGTGCACACGTGCCCGCCAAAACGAATGGCGTCTGTTAAGATCGAATGACCAGTTGAAATTCTTCACACTCACACATTTCTACGTCGCCGTGTGATTAGACTGCACATGAAATTCGAAATAACTATATTTTCTCGTGATAATGTCAACAAATAATATGTTATGTTTAAAATTTATTCCGAAAAACACACACCGTAAAGAAATAAAGAAAATGTAACTGAACTGATCAATCTATTTCTCGAGATTCTAAAGTATAGTGGAAATTATTATGACAAACGACATTCTAACATTTCTGTTACTCGTGAAATTACAAGGTATCGTCTATCATTTGCATTAATACCAATATGTTGTCAATCAAACACAGATACCGTTCCTCTTTACCCGTGAAGATATTCTATTAAAACTTACCGAATTTTCGGCTGTGCACATGCCACTCTGGTTGATTTCTACCGGCACTTCATTACTCGACGCCATTTTGATCCGCGTCACAGCAGACGACCATAGACAGGAGCGTATAAAGACACATAGCAAATTGCAAACACGATTCTGTCAACAAATATTCCCTTAAGAATTAAGCAAATCCTCTTATTAATAAATTTAGCGTATTTTATCGAAGTTCATACAAAGTTTATTTATTATTCCACCAATATATTTTTTTGCCGGAATTAACTGTCATTCCTTAGAAATAAAATTGAATATTTATCAAACATTGTTGATACTTTCCGTCGTATTATTAATATTAATGAACGACGTAAACATCTTACAGATGAATCTTTTTTATAAATGCTTGTTTTCTTTTTACATTAAATTATTTGACAATATTTTTAAAGATAATATCGCATACATATTTACATATATAATACAATATACAAGTTGATTTCATTTTCATATATATATGTTACAAATCAAAATAAGTACTATTTATTATAGTAAACGATATATAATATTATTTGTATTTAAAGATAACATACATACGATACACGTTTTTATAATCATAATTTTTTAAAATAATTTTCTAATACTCTCTGTACCTACGTAAAATCTTTTCAAATACTATGAACAATTATTTTTATGGTGTGATCTTGTATAGGAAATTCATAATCAATCTCTTTATACATAATATACGAAATTATATAACGCTTCGTAAGTACATGCAATACAACATACAATAATTTGACAAAGCTATTGATTTCCAAGCAACGTTTTATTACAAAAACGATTGCTCACACGAACAATTATCCTTCTCTTTTTTTCATCGGAGAGCCACGTGATACAAACACATGAAAAACAATGACAATGCACGAATCATTCGTTGTTCATACGAAGACTGTAAGTTCACTTCTTCCATGAATGTCCTAGAAGAACCACCCGAATTGTCATATCAAGAACGATGATGGTACGTCCCTGTGGTATGCGCAGTGCAGTTTCCTTACACTTCTAATTTTTACGTGAAATAGGCATTCATTTGTTCAATAATCATAATGAAAAATCGTGTTTCGTTTAGAAGGTTTCGTATTTATTGAAATTATTGGTAATTGGGCTATAAGACGATATCTTTAATTTCGTATCTTCGTTTGGTTGTTTTCAGAGAGTGCAAAGACATCGTCCAATAGGAGTCGAGTGGCTAGCTGACAAGTTGCGTCGGGGTGGAAATGGGCAGGGAACAGGAGCTTGTACGCATTCGGGCCGTGAAGTGTTGGTTTCGCGAAGGGGGTCAACCTTGCTGTCTACGTGCTCTTTCTCGTGTTATTACTTTCAGCGAAAGAATACAAACTCAATTTTAATGTATCGCGCGTGCCAGTGTCTTAAGATTATTTATATGAGGATCGTGGAGCGTTAGAAGATGCTGGTAAGGAAACAGGCGGGAGAAAAGTTGACGTAGAAACAAGTGCGCAAAGATTGTATACTTGAGTTCTGTATTTCTCTCTCTCTCGCTCTCTCTTTCCCTCCCTCTCACACTCGTTCGTTCACTCACTCATCTTCTTTTCTTTCTGCCGTGTATATTGAAAAAGTAAAAATCCATGCTTTTGTTATGTGTAGTTATGACGCTTTCGCAGGTTATTTTCTTCGGACGAATGTCTCGCCTAAAGAACCTTCGAGGTTACAACTATTACCCGATGTCTAAGAAATCGACAGGCTGTCACGAACGTAGTGGACTCCGTTTTGAAAACGTGGTTAAAATGTCAAAGTATGAGCTTTATTATAACGAAACATTCTCGCGCGAACGTTCTTGTTTAGTATAGGACACTTTCGATCGGGGAACGATCTCTCTTACCTGCGAGGTATGACCGTCTACATAAACAATAGCTCATCATAGCAAGGCAGCTGGCGTTTTTGTAGTTCTTGTGTCGCTGTATTATCTGCGAATTTTTTTTTCGATGATGTTAGTTAAAAAAAGATTTGGTATAGCTTCATCAAGGTGAACAGTAATTCTACAGGTTTCGATAAAGTACTAAAAGATAAGAATAATAAGAAGTATATTCTGTATTTATTATTGGTTCGCCCTTATTTTGTAATATGTTTCTACTGTAAGTGGTAGGAGAATCGAAAGATTTCATATTTATGTGATAATTTCTTTGAAAGATAGAAGTGGCTGTGTAATTTTTATATGGAAGTATGTTATATAGAGAAAAATTGTATGGTACAGATTATACACTTCAAACCTGTACATTTTTTGTTACAGGGAGACGATCCGCCGTACCTATCAGTGGGTACGGAGGTTAGCGCTAAATACAAGGGTGCCTTCTGTGAAGCAAAAATAAGGAAAGTGGTACGATCAGTGAAATGCAGAGTATCTTATAAACAAGGTTTGGGCACTGCAACTGTAGCTGATGACCAGATAAAAGGAACTTTAAGAGTAGGTGCATCCGTTGAAGCCAGACATGGAGATAAAAAAGAATTTGTGGAAGCTACAATCACCAAAATCCAGGACTGTAGTCAATATACTGTAGTTTTTGATGATGGAGATATTACAACATTAAGGAGAACTGCGCTATGTTTAAAGAGCGGACGACATTTTGCAGAGAGTGAAACTTTGGACCAACTTCCTTTAACACATCCAGAACATTTTGGAAACCCAGTAATTGGAGGTAGAAGAGGACGACGGTCTAGACAAGCACAGTGAGTGTAGTGGAAGTTTCAATACAGTTTCATAATATAGCGTCATGAAATATTTTCCTTTAGTAACTATAATTCTAATTGGTATTATAGAGATGAAAGTAGCGACGATGAAGACAGCCCTCCACGAGGAACTCGTGACTCAGGTTCCAGTGGCACAGGGAAGGAAGGTATGGAAACAGAACCAGAAATTGGACGGGTTGTATGCGTGGAACTTGGAGATAAAAAGAAAAAGGATAATTGGTTCCCTGGGTTAGTGGTTGCACCAACTGCTCAAGATACAGTAAGAATTCGAGTGAGAGATGACTATCTTGTGCGGTCGTTTAAAGATGCACGATAGTAAGTTACAGTGCCATTTATATTTAAATAAATTTTTTGAAATTCATTGTAAGTTTAAATTATTTTGGTACTAATGTTTTCTGCATTCTTATTATTTCAGTTAAATAAGTGCAAATGATCAAGTAGAGTCTTTAAGTTAAAAGTAGATTAATATTTATTTATTTCCTACCATATTATTATATGTTTCTTTGTATACTCAGTTATACAGTTCCGAAGAAAGAAGCCACTGAATTCACAAAGGAACTTGTCAACAAAGTTGAGAATAGCACATTGAAGGTTGCAGTAGAAAAGGCACTGCTATTTTTAGAGAAGAATGAGTTGCCTCCCCATTGGGATAGAGATTCTCTTTTTGGACACACTGTATCAAGTGGAAATAGTGATTCCGATGGAGAACTTGATTCAGATGTAAGATACATCTTATGTCTTCAATTAAAAGTAAATTTTTATTATAACGTTTGTCGCTTGAAATGTATTCTATTTTTTTTTTAGAGTTCAGATGACGAACCGCGTGAAGAAAAAGATCATTTTGTGGCACAATTGTATAAATTTATGGATGATCGTGGAACACCTATTAATAACTGTCCAATGATCGGATCTGAGGACATAGATTTGTATAGGTTATTTCGAGCCGTTTACAAATTGGGTGGTTATAATCGCGTAACAAATCAAAATCAATGGAAGCTGATAACGCGCCGTCTAAGCTTTACAATGCAAAATTCACCATCGACGCACAATTTGGTTAAACAGGCCTATAAGAAATTCTTACACTCGTTTGAAGATTTTTATAGAAAATTAGGTTGTACTATGGTAAATCATCCGAGAGGTACTATACGCAAACAACGTCCTGGTAGAAGTCTGATTAGAGATAAAGACAGAAATACACCTGTACCACCACAAGTGACGGTAGCTAAAAGTGAGAAAGAAGAGGAAGATAAGAAAGTAACAGAAGATGAAAAGAAGGAAAAGAAAGAAGTAAAAAAGGAACAGGTGAAGGAAGAGGAAGTTGTCAAAATAAAGAAGAAGGATGAGTTTGAAGAAAGTGGCAGTGGGCAGGAGAGTGATGTGAATGTGGAAGGCGAGGCAGAGTCATCCAGCAGTGAGAAATCTCAAAAGATTTCAATGTCGTTAGCATTGCAAAATAGAGGTAAGTCTAAAAGTAAAGAAGATTCTAAGAAAAAGGTAATAGAAAAGAAAAAAAATGAGCCTAAAAAACAAGAAAAAAAGGATGATAAAGCGAAAGAGGAGGATGCTGCTAAAACGAGGTCTAAATCGAAAGATGATACTGTAAAAAAAACATCTTCTGAAACTAGGGAAACGCGAACTCCATCCAGAGAATCGGACAGAAAAACTTTAACCAAGCAGAGGCGTCTAACTGATGAAGAATTGAAAAGACGGGGCAGAAAGCGTAAAGAGTATGAGGCAGAGAAGTCACGATCCGATGAACAATTAGCAGAGTCTGCCCCTTGCTATAAGGGTCCTGTAGAATTAGGAGACAGATTAAAAGTATATTACGGACCTACCCATGAATCGAAAGTCACGTACGAGGCGAAAGTTATTGATATGGAGAAGGATGGTACAGAGCCAATGTATCTTGTACATTATACCGGGTGGAATACAAGATACGATGAGTGGATCAAAGCTTCGAGAATAGCACAGAACTTTACACAAGCGCAAGGTAGAGTGAAACGTGTTAAAGCTAGTTCACGGCCACAAACACCTAGTACGAATTTATCCAATAATGTGAACAAATCAACGAAGATTGTATCTAACACAAGTTCGAATGCATCTCAAAGTCGTCGTCGAGCTCAGAGTGTAGCTCCTACGACGACGGTTGTCTCATCGATCACTATGAAAGAGGTAAAGAAAGAAGAGAAGGAAAGGGACAAGGAAACATCTCAACCGGCTAGGTCTACAACTCCTCTGTCTGTCACAAGTTCTAGCTCTAGAACTAAGAGTCCAGCAACTCCAGCGAATAATCGTCAAACTCGAACGACAAGAAACACTGATGTACCTGGTATAGAACACAGACGACGCACGAGGAGGACGTCTGGTCATACAGATATATCGATTGCGTCGGAAACTGAAGATAGCGAAGTGTACGATTCTGACGCTACGGAACCTGAACAAACAAGAACTAAATCCAAAGGTGTAGAAGAGAGAAAACGTAGGGATGCGAAATGTAGAACCGAGGATAGAATAAAACCTGACGAGACCAGCGATGGTGAGGAAGATAAAGATAATTTGGAAGAACCACGAAGAGGTAGGCGTTTAAGAAGAACGATTGGTAAGTCACAGGGTATAAAATCTGAACCTGATAGCGACGAGGAGCAACCTAAAGGTCGGGATTTCGACTTGAATCAGATACGGTCGGAATTAAAAGGTTTCGATAAGGCAGTTAAATTAGAGCTTGTCAGGATCGAGCCAGATCCAGAGGATGAAATAAAAATAGAAGAAAAAGAAAATGTTGTTTTAGTTTCACCGAAATTAGAGAAAAATTTGGAACCGAAATTAGAAACCACTCCTGAGCCTAAGGCAACGGAGAGTACGGAGGATATATATGAATTTAAAGAACCAGAACCATTTGAATTTGAAGTGCGCAATAAACGAGATACCAGCGGGGAAAAAGATAAAGTAAAGAAAAGAGTATTTGAGGAAGAACCAAAAAGTCCTAAAAAGAAGCAAAAAATAATTGTGTCGCCGGTTATAAAAGAAATTAAACCAGAAATAGATGACTCGAGGAAAAAACCGAAAAAATTATTTAGTAAAAGAATTGATGATATCACAGAAAATCAATCAATTCACAAACCATCGCAGTCTGTATCTTCAAGTACGTGTGAGGAAGTATTTGATAAACTGTGCGAATCACCATCATTTAATCAAGTGAAAGCTGCTCCAGTTATGGAAGAAACTGGTAAAATAACTAATGGTATAGATCTGTTATTCAGTGACTTACCTGGCGATGATGATGGCGCACACGATGATTCGGAAGATCGATTGATAATATCAGAGGCAGAGGTTTCAGAAGCGGAACAAGAAAACTTATTTTCGTATCAACAAGAAATGTTTTCTACTAATGAGATGACCGATTCTTTAGAATCGACTAAAGAAGATACAAATTCACAGGTTGAAACGGCAAGAGAAGAATTATTACCACCAGTTTCAAGCAAGTCTGAGGTAGTACCTGTAGAACAAAAACAAAGCATTAAGATGTCTCCATTACACAGACAATCCCCAGAATTAAAACCGCTTGATACAAAGCTATTAGACATTACACCGGTTTCATCTCCAATAGTAGCAGTACCAGCGCCAATTAGTGCAAGACTGCCGGCCACATCCACGATAGAAGAGAAGCTTTCAGCGGCAATGGCTTTCCGCAATAAAATCAAAGAAATTAAAAAAGACGACGATGTTCCCGAAGTCGTATGGAAACCATCAAAAGAAATTCCTAAAAAAGTAGATACCATAGTTATACAGAAGAATAAAGAGGAACAGAATGGGCCTAAAATAGATATTGAGAACAAAAAGCGGGAGGAAGAGGAAATTGCAGTAAATAACGAAGAACCGTGTAGAGAAATAATGCGAGTGGTAATCAAGCAGAAGGAAGAAGAACTCCAACAGTTGAAGTTGAAGAAAGAGGTAGAGCTGAAGAAATTTGTTGAAACAAAAACAGAACATAAAAAGGTACAAGAAACTAGCAGCGAAGAGGAATGGAAGCATATTGAAACTGAAGAGTCCAAAAAAGCGGAGGATGGATTTAAAGAACAGGACTTTAAAGAAAAGGAAAAAGAAAAGCGTAAGAAGATAGTTGCTCAAGATATTGTGGATTCTGCGGATAGTAGTGACTCTGAGCAAAGGCTGGTAATTGATAACGAAGAACCTCAAGATGCAAAAACACCAACAAACTTCGATGTGAAATTAAGAGCAGAATTAGATAGACTTCAAGATACGCAGGAAAGGTATTCAAAATTACAAGTGCAGAAATCCGTACAACAATTGAAACATCAACAACATGAATGTGTTACCGAATGCAAAACGGAGAGTATATCCGTTACAAAGGGTGACGAAGAAGGAGAAGCAATCAGTTCTCTGTTGTGCGAGGAAGAAATACCAGGTTCACCTGCACCTGTTTCTGAAAGTATTGAACAAATAAATGCTGGCCCATCGTGTTCCCCGCCAAAAGTTGAAACAACAGAAAGTAGTATAGTACTTATGGAAATGCCTTTCGCAAGCGCTCCCACTTCAGGCCAAAGTACTACCAGCAGTACTGTTGTCACTTTGAGTATGGCGCTGCCGAAAACTCTAGAGACATCCGTTCCAGTTTCTTTGCCGATGCAACCAAATCCTACTTTAGGTGTGAGACAACAATCGCATCATCAGCATTTGCCTGCACTGATGCCAGGCCAGAGGCGGGAAAGTAATGAGGCAGCACCTGTAATGGACAATACACCCCCAACTACGCCGGATTCTAGTATTTCTAATATCTCTGGATCTCCAAGAGAAGAAAGAACAGGTGGTTCGTCACCGATTTCTGAAGATAACATGAAGTTAAATCGTGATAGTTCTGAAGCGGACAACGATAGCGGTGGTAAAGGTCCTGCGTTTAGCGAAGATGATACATTACCCAACGCTGAAGGAAACTCAGCGGACAGAATGTTGAAGCCACCGGCGAAACGTTCCGTGGAAGAGACACAATCTCCCAAAAAGCGAAAGAGAAATAGAAAACATTCAGAATGTGATAAGAATACTTCAAAGAAAACTGGGAGGCATAGTGGTAGGCATGGTAGACACGGTGTTGGAAGCGACAGCGACGATACGAGTGAGGGCTCGAATTTGTGTAGCGTCAACTCAACATCTGCGAATCATACGAATATTGCTACCACAGTAGCAGATCTCAGTAATTATTCGTCGAGATCGCCACGACCCACGAAATATAATTTCTATGTGGAATTAGGTAAAGTATTCGCACATCTTGCAATTTCATTACATTTCCTTGGTACATTATAATATTTTTCTGTTACGTCTATAGACCCTGAATTGGATGGAAGTCAAAGGATAGCTGTGTTACAACAGAAATTAGCTGAATTACGTAAAACGTACAATGCAGTAAAAGTTGAATTGGCCGCCATTGAAAGACGCAGAAAAAAGTTACGGAGAAGAGAAAGGGAAGGTAATTATCATTATTAGTTAAATTTATTTAACTATTTGGAGGTGTTAAAAAATTGAATTTCATAAAGTTTGGTTAATATTTATATTTTACGTGTGTTGCAAGTATGGAAAGAAAACAACATGAATTTATTTTCAGCTATAAAGGCAGCTAAAGCAGAAATGCAACAGGCCTGTTCGTGATAAGCTGCCTTAAGGCATCCTATTTCACTTAATCTGTGCTAAACAAACTTTTATACAACACCAGGAGTTAATAGAATAGTATCATTGAGTGGAAACCCTGCGGTCACAGCAGATTTCATGACAATTTTTACCTACCTAACATCGTTTAGGTAACTTTTTCCCCCCCACTAATATAAATTGTAGATATAGATATAAGATTTAGTATAAAGGAGGAACATTTATCAGAGTGAAAATATATATATATTCATATGTGCTTTGTGTTGTACATTGTTTTTGTCAAGAACATAATGTGACTGTTAAAAAAAGGAAATCTTTATCCTCGATTTGTCATTTCACCTGCTCAGATGCAAAGTACAAATTATCGAACTTGATGATCATTTTCATCGTTCATTCTTGTTTTTTAAGGAAAAGGCTGAGAAAAACGTTACCGATAGTATGTTATTATAAAGACATCTTGGGAACAAATAATTGTCTAAGCCGTCTGTCATTTTCGTTTCGAGCATAATAGCTTGTAGCACTGTTGGCGGTTGAGCTGTTTTCAGGACGATCAAATAAAGACAACATTATGCAAGTGCGACTACCATCATGTATTTCTTAGGATAGATGGATTTTTGTATATATTAGAGTATAGTAACATTCTAGTGGTTTGCAATATATACGCGTATACGTAAATAGAATTTTAGCGTCCTTACGATCGAAATGTTTTCTTTTTTTGTTTTTAAATTTAAATATAATATTGCAATTCGATGTGGCCCTTAAAAGTAACAGAAAAAGCGATTATATTGAAAGCAATGTTCATTTGTATGATAACAAATATGCGAAACGAACGAGTGATTGTATATTGATATGCATGTGAGATATAGCACAATTTTTAACTTCTAAAAGAGGAAACAGAAATCACTTTAATTTATGTACATAATTTACATGAATAAAATATATCATATTATAATTGTTCCAAATAACGAAACACTAAAGTTTATTATAATTAAATAATTACATTCGTACTTGAAGAAAACTTCCTTGACAAGATGCATAGAGGTCGAGTACGTTAACTATGCAATTGTCATGAATGCAGCTCAACGGGATTCATCAATTTACAGCCTTTTGCATTATATCTGAAAAATTGCTGCCATTGTGCTTTAATCATCAAATAGGTATTAGACGTTTATCGTCGTATATCGTAATTGGTCAAAGATGCATTTATATTTGTATTTGGGTGTCAATGTACCCCAGGTATTACTTAAAAAAAAACAAAATAACGAAAGAAAACAAACAAGAAGAGTTAAACTTAAGAAACAAGTCGCAGAAAAACGAAATCAAATACCCAGAATGGAACTAAATTTGTATGAAGATGTGTTGGCTGACAAGAGAATGAAATTTTATATAGATATATATTATATATATTTTTTTATAAGAAATCAGTTGTGTACGTGTATTATGATATCAGAAAACATGATCACACACTGATTAAGGAAAAGAGGAAGGAAAAATTTAGGAGTTGGATTCTACAAATCTTTGTACATATTTTACACTGTGTGTGTGTGCGGTATGTATGCGCGCGCGCGTGCGTGCGTGTGTGTGCTTGAACACTCATAAATTGGGTTTTAGTAGTCATTTATCGCACACAGATGTAGCTATGCATATTATTGTATAATGGTTTCAGAAGTCTTGCAATAGCACATGCTATATATTTGTCTTAAGAAGTTCTAAGGATGTGTGCGACACTCATTGTAAATATTATGAATTTGATAAAACAATAAATTAAAAAGTGAATCTATTCAGTACCATGAAATCAAAGATAATTAAATTATAAATATTTATAATCATTATTTTGTTTTTATTTCATTTTATTCTATTATAAGTGTAATAAAATTACAATGCAAGTCTATGAATGTAAATTTCGCTATCAGACTATAATAACAGTTATAATGATTTAGTTATATTTTATAAAATATTTTTATTTAGAAATTTTTATTTTCTAGGATAAACAGTGTAATAAATAAATGTCCTTAGTTTAGTTACACATTAAACATATGTAAATCTATTACAATGTTGTTATTTTCCATTGCAATTACTTCTTTTTTTATATTCTACATTTAAGCAGTATGTAAAATTATTACATGTGTAGTTTAATCACAGATGTCACAACTTTATATTACCTTTACGTAAATAATGCTTTACAATATACTTGACTTAAGGAAGCAATATTTCATGGATAGTATTAAAATCTTCCAGAATTATGAATTAATAATATTTGAGTTACGAATACATCCTTGTCTTCATAAAACAAATTTTCTTCCTGTAAATCATGAATTACATGTGAAATAATACATATAATAAGCACAATGTGGATTGTGTCGCCAACAAGTAATATTGTTCCACGTAACATTTAATTGTGTTAGAGAATATTGTTAAGAAATAAATCTTATCTTAACAAATTATAGTAACATTATTTACCCTCAGTCATAACAGAGGTTTTTATTTATTGAGTACAGAAATAAAGTGTAAAGTATCGTTATTAATTAAAATTCTGTGCTTAAAAATTTTTATAAATTATTTATTATATTGCAACTTAAAATTGAACATTAAAATTTTGTTAAACTCTGCACAATATTATGTGTTAATACAATAATTCGTTATCATATTTCCTAATACATATACATACATACATACATACATACACATATATACATATATATGTGTGTGTGTAGAATGAAGTTTTAGCTATTGATATTGAAATATGAAATAGAACATGAAAAATATAATGTACAGTAATATTGACAATTTTGTATATTTGATACATAGTGCTAGTAAAAGTATTGTTAACTAAATCTTAATTTCTTCGTTTGTATTCAGTTATTTCATATGGTGTTATCTAATTGTCTAAGAAAATTACTTGATTACACCTATCTACTCCATTTATCTTTGTACATCAGTAATGTAGATGTATTAAAGGTACAATAGTATTGTAGGTCATTAAAGAATATCTGAAAATATTTTCTAATGCAAGTAATATAGAATACATAAAATAAAATATAAATCCAATTATTATAATGTTATTACGCATGCTCAAAAGAATGTTTGAAGCATTATAAACACTAATTTCATGATTGCTCATTACCAATCAAGCAAGAAATAGATGTGATGTTTTGTTTTTCTCATGAATAGTTCATTATGGTATAACAAAACAAAACTTAAATATTTTACAAGATCATTATGTTAGTAATTGGCTCCATGTAATGGAAAAAAGAAATACTAAGATTCAAAACAAACAAACTAATCTGACAATTTTATAGATTACCAAATAAATTGAGTTTGCTCGATAATATTATGTTTTTCTATCAATAAATTACTAAAGTAATGAGCCAAACAGGATACAAAGAATGCTTAATAATTTCGAACGAAAAAATGTTTTCAGTTCTATGTGTCAACACGAGGAGGGCTAGACGTTGGTGCGGTATCAACAGTTTGTGCGGATGATGATGCTACTGACGGTGACTTATTCTCTGTAGTTAACCTTCGTTTAGCGAACATAAATTGCTCCATTAATTCATGATGAGCTTCTAGCCTTTCAATACAATGTAGACATGCTGTTTTTGGTAATGGGTCATTCATGTTTACCTGTGTGACAAAAGGGTAAAATTTTATGTTTTTAAACTAAATATGAATAAAACTGTTAATGTTATTATAATGTAACATACAACATTTTTAAAGTGAAAGTTATTTTAAATAAAAATTAAAATCTGTGCTTACATGTAACAAGCAATTTAAAATGTTAACATTACAGTAGTTAAATTGTTTTTTCTAAATTAATTTAATATAAATAGATTTTAAAAGTACACAATGAAAGCTATTGTCATTGTAAGATATTTAATTATTGTACAAGTACCACTGTCAAGTGGTAAATCATAATTTGGAGTTATTAAATAAGATATAAATAAAAAGAATAGTAAATGTAATTTGAACAAGACAAAGTTATAACCAGCCATGAACAATTTTCTGGGGATTAATATTTAATTAAAAATAATATCGAGGGGAGCGATATTAAAACATGTACAAATAAGTAATAAGTTTACCGTAATTGGAAGATAAGCATTTATTTTCTCTGCGAGCTTCATTCTTTCACCCTCTTCACCGTATATATGGATCACGAAACGGTTCATTTTACTACAAAGTCTGCATATAAATCCCGTGATCACGGCTTTATCTGTGCTACCCATTTTGATTGTTTTCTTAAGGTTATTGTTTTTAGTATGGCACTAATCGACACCCTGTGGTCTAACACACACGACAATAACTTTAACCCTAAGTTACTGCTTTATGAAATCTCACAAGATGTTGTGCTTCCCTCAAGATTAAGTTTGTTTATCATAGCTGAACAACTGGCGCTACTAGCACTGAGTTCCACTACTCCTGTCAGGACTGTACTCATACATTTTCTCTTTAATACTGCAAATACTATATAATGTATATAAAAATAATGTCATTCTATCACATAAAACATGTTACTACAATTATATTTACAATTGAAAATTAATAATCAAGATTGATTAATATTTTATAAATAAAAAAACTTGATCGAGAATGTAAAAGATTATTATTGTTACTGAAGTTTCAGAAAATTTAATATAAATTTTTTTTTAATTTTATAAAAAAGCTGATGATTTTTTAGAAAGATATATGATATATTATGAGTTGAACACCATTTTATAATTGAATTTTTACCGTTACAACTTAAGTTGCATGATCAAATTGATTAAGATAGAAATCTTTTACTAATAGATACTTAATTGATCTTATTCTTATTTAATGCTATATATTAAATAATATTCCTATTTGATTGATAAATGATATTTGTATTGGTGCTATGATATATTTTATGATAATTTTTAATACAATTTTCGGTAGTTGTAAATGATTTTTATAGCAAGAAATTGAAATATTATGTTTTTTCATGAGGAATTTTTATGTTTTTTTCAATTGTAGAAAACGGTAGGTTCATACATATTTACACCTATAACAAAAAGTTTCTGGTAGTTATATAAAAATTAATGTTTTCATGTATTTTTAAAGTAATAATAATATCTTAATGTAATTTTTAGTTTACATTCTTTTTACGTTATAAACTCGCTTTTTGTATGATATTACTGTTTAAAGAGCTCTCATGAATATTTTAAATTCCATATTATTTCGATAAAATATGGCGGCGATCAGCTGTCTTCTGTCATAATGACATTCATATTGATAAACAGAATATTATAGATATTCGTAACATAATTCGAATGAGGAAGATTGCGCTTTGAAATAATCTCATTAAATTTTTCATTACTATCACGTTCTGTAATATAAGTATGAAAAAATTTTTCCAAATTAATAGGAATTTCTTGTTGCTCATCTGAAGTAAGCGGCAAGTGAACGCAGCTGCGTAAAAAAGCAATATGGTGACTAACGAATTAATCAACTGTTGAGGATAATCAAGAATACAAATGTTTAATAATATTACCAACTTTTGGGATGGACGGTGGTGAAGTTGAGTGATGAACTTAACGTGATTAAAAGCCTTTCGGAGGCTAAAGAGAGAAAACCATGTGCGATGTGTGTGTTGACTTTCACGACCTTCTGCTCTCCTGTAAGCAAATTGTATACAATATCTTTCATGTTAACCTATTATACTCTGTTGCATGTTGCAAACTTTTACTCTCGCATCGTTAACTGGTTGTTTAACGTAAGCCACTTAAGAAGAACGTATTAGCTAAAGGAACGTTTAATTCATTTTTATAGGTTTTTTCATTGTAAAATTTCGTTTGTAACATCCGATTGTATAGCCTTACCGCTTATGGATAGTCTTGTGGCTTGTCGCAGCAATTAATACACGAAAAGTTATCTGAGGATGTAATTGTTTCATTGTCAAGATACTTTTTTTTCTCTAAAAAGTCGTAAATAATATTAAAATTGTACGACATGCTAAAACAAATTGCAATACATATTGGAATATTACACACAGAAACAGATGTATATTAAGTAATATTTGAATGTTTTGTTAGTTAAAATAGTGATTAGACTTAAGCAATTATTTGTACTTTAGTTAAATTATTTGTTTATAAATGTATTCTCCTTTTTATATATAATTCACATTCAGATGATGAAAGATCATCAAAAGAACAAGATGGATTGGCTACTCTTTGTATTTCGGATGTGGACACAACACTGCATTATGTTAATCAATGGATACAAAGGTCTGGTTCTATTTTTATTGCTTAAATGAATCACAAATCGGTTTAAACGTATGCTTGTAATATTCTATATTATATATGAACTTGAAAGACCTCTTTAGTTCTTATTGTTTTAGGCAATGTATGTGCTGTTATCGAGAAATAAAAAATTTTGATCGTTTTATACGATTAACACAGAGCGTTGTACTATGTACATTACAACAGTTACAAATTATACAACATAATGGACAGGAAACAGATGCTGAGAAATCATCATCTAAAGATGAGAAAGAAGAAGAAGAAGAAAAAACTAATGAGGGAAAGGCAGAAGATCCAGATTTTGCACAAACGGAGACAAAACAAAGTTGGTCTCAACAGGATAGAGAAAAATTGTTCCATCTGCTTTCAAAAATATTTTTATTAAATTTTCCTCTTTATATTGCAATGAAACATGGTGGTGCAATTAACCCTTTAGCACCAATAAAAGTAACTATTTTGTATTTATCAGTGTGTGTAAAGGTTATTTTTGTTAAAAGTTTATGCAATAATTTCTTATTGTTTTTAAAGGATGAAGGTGGATATTGCGAGCCTCATGACCCAGAAGTACCAGCACCTTTAATTAGAGCAGTTTCAATTTTTTGCCATCAAGGTGGCTTTAACCTAATGTCAGCTTGTTTTGATATGGAAACTACTTTACCAGTTAGTCTTGCACATTCTATGGTTGCAGTAATTTGTAATTTGAAACTTTGGTTGAATTATGGAAGTGTCATTCAGCTTTTTATACCATTACGCAGTCGTGTTATGAAATATATGTGTCGTTTAGGAGACAAAGAACTACGCACACCTGCAGTTAGAACTATGGCTGGTAAAGTTTCATATAGATAAGTTATCAGTATTATAATATACCGTTCTACTTCAATTTTATAAATTTACAATTTTGTAACCATAGATTTTATGTGGAGTGCTGTAAAAGATCCCATTGATGCAGTTTTACCAAGTTTTGATCGCGATGGATTGGATTTAGCATTTAAATATTTTACTAGTACAACTTTAACCATGAGACTAGCAGGAATAGCTCAGATAAATGCTCATATCACTGCATTCAATGAACTTTGTAATAGTGAAACTATTGCCGAAGTGGAACAAGTGGGTCATGCATTGGCAGCTTGGTTGACAGAAAACAATATAATAGCTCATATATTTGGACCAAATTTGCATGCAGAAGTTATTAAACAAAGTCACATTGTATTAAGTTTCTTAGCTATGGAGGGTAGAATAGCATCTTCAGATATGGATACTATGTGGCAAGCTGCACAATTAAAGCACTGTGGACGTCCAGTATATGATTTGTTGGCACCTTTAGTGAAACATTTGGCTCCGACTCCAGTTCTACATTTATATTCCTTGTTAGGAAAATTAGAACCAAAGGACCACACAGAACAAAGTTTATTCCTGGCATCTGCTTTGATTAAGTTTATTTGGACAGCAGGTGGTTCGGGTTATCCAAGGGGTTTAACCATAAAGAATAGAGAAATTTTAAGAGGAACTAGCGGTGTTGGCGGTAGTAGTACTAGTGACCCTAGTGGAATGGATGGAAGCAGTCCAGATGAGGATGAAGAACCTAGTCCTGCTCCATCCGAAGGACCTTCACCAAGGAAACAAGCAAGAGGTGATAGCAGTGATGGAGAAGGTATACTACATGCAAAGAGTACATTTCTCTTTTTTTTTAATACATACATAGATTAAAATATAGATATTTACAGGTCCTTTTAAAGCAAAAAGTATGGGCACAGCAGTTGTACAGACAAGTTTAAATGAAACAGAAGGTTCAGCGTTAGAAAAGTCAGATTGTAATGCAGAATCGATGAAAGATTCTGTATGTACTATTCAAGACGATATAAAAGAAAAGCAAAGTGGATCAGACGCAGAGGCGGATACAGAAAAATCTAATGCCGAAGAAACGGCTACCATTGAAAAGAAAAAAAGGAAGGTGTTGAGAAGAAGGAAGAAACCGCGAAAACGTTTTTTAGGTACTGTGGATAAAACATTTGAAGATATTGTTAATCAAGAAAATAGTATGAAAACTAAAGATTTAATGATCGATATAAAAAATAGAACGGAGGACAGTTTAAACAGTTCTTTAGACACAAGTGGATTAGTTTCTTTTGATGATCCAAAAAGTGTTGATGCATTGGATCGCGTAAAACAACAGGCAATGGGATTAGATCCAAGTGACCAACAAGTTCCAACGACCGCAGCATTATTAAGAAGAGCTAATAAAAATAAATATATGTCATTAGTAGGTCATAATGTAGACCGGGCTCCAGACTCTGCGGATACTTCACATGATGAAGACGACAGTGATGTAGCTGGAGTTCTTGCTGCAGCAGATGGTCCTAGCGCAGTTATATCTGAACTGGCAGGTTTGGTACATGCAACCGGACCGACATTTTTGCCTTCCGGTTTGGATGAAATGTTATCGGACGAAGAAGGATCTTACAGTAGTAGAATATCAAATAAAAGTGAGAAAAATATGGCAGACTTCGATGGCGAAGAAAGCGGTTGTGAGGAAGAATTAGCGCAATTAGCGGCACGTCATCTAACAGCTATACAAATGCAAGCTTATCATCCCCATCATTCTCATCCAACAATGACAATTAGACGATCCGTTTGTCGTCCTCCACAAGTAAGAAGCGTTCGTCAAACAGTTACACGAGTTAGTTCTCAATTTAATTTGGATAACGTATGCAAATCTGGAAATACATTGTTATGGGATCTTCTACAAGATGACAAAATTGGTCAACTAGGAGAAGGTTTAGCTTTAGAAGCTGAAAAGGCTTTATGCAATCTTCTTTGTTTTAACGTTGACCGACTTATACCTATGAAATTTATAGAAGGTTGCTTAGAAAACTTAGCAACTAACCGTTCTGTGGTTGTATCTTTAAGATTACTACCTAAATTACTTGCCAGTTTCCAACAGTTTGGTGCAATGGATGCACATACGATAACGACATGGGCGGACCGCGAACGTGGAATGATGAAACACTTTTTCAACAATCTAAAGACTTACACTAGCACAGGGCCAAAAAATAGTCTGTATTCTCATCAAACAGAAATACAGGTTAGATTACAGTTTCTGTCTTCAATTTTTTCCCCTTTGGGTTCACCCGACTGTTTTCGCCTAAGCCTTGAACAAGTTGACATACTATGGCAATGTTTGTCTCAAGATCCAACATGTGCAGATGAACTCTTTAGTTGGTTGCTCAGTCAAGCAAAGTCAACGGAACAACACGCTCTAGGAATGGATACGCTTAAACACTTATGTATGCGTAAACTACCAAGTTTACCACCTGAAACTATTAGCATGATGGGTCTTAGTCTTTTTCAGCAATTGTGCAATTTGGCTCGTTTGGCTGCTGCACATTTAGATAGACCATTAAGGGACGTAGATTCCGTTGGTATGGATTTCTTGTGGAGAATAGCACTGAAAGCTAAAAGTACAGATGTTAGTATGGCAGCTATACAATACTTAAACGGTTACTATATGTCTAGGCAGTTGACCCAAGAAGCAGAATTTGTTTCACAATGTATGACACATCTTGCTGCAGCTAGCGCTGACTTAGAGACAAACGAAGAAGCTAGTTTAAGGTGCATACAACGAGCATTGTTGTTATTGAGGACACACTTAGAAGCTTTTCGGAAACGGTATGCATACCACTTACGTCGATGGGTATTGGAAGGTAGAGGTGCTGGTAGTCATGTAGCCATGAATACTTCTGAGAAGGGTCAACAGTTAAGAATATTTGTACAACCAGCCGGAATTCCTGAGAAAACAAGCTTTACTCTTCTTAGTACCGATTATGTTGCCGACTTACGAGCAGAAGTTGCTAAATGGTGGGACGATACGCAAAACAATCAAGAAAAATCATCATCTTCTACAAATGCAAATCAGAACAATGGATCAGTATTAGGATCTCTACTCACCGATGGGCCAATCAGAATGATCACGCAAGGTCAAGAATTAACAATTGATTTCGATGAAAAAACATTACAGGAAATGGGTTTCAAAGATGGCCAATTAGTGTTTATTTCTCCTGGTGCTGGTCGTGGTAACGGTACAGGTAGATGTAATAAACGAGATATGGATTCGCCATCTCTTTTGCCACCTCCTCCACGAGAGTCTTTACCGACATTACTGCTGTTAAGACCACAATATTTCGAACAATTATTTACATTGATGAGAACTTTAAGCGCTATGAAAACAGTTGTTAAAGGCGGACAAGAAATTCCTCATACAAAGGCTCAAGTACTTTCAAGAAGAGTTTGGGACACATTAACTTTACTACCTACAAGCCCTACCTTATTAAGAGGTTTCCAGAAATTAGGGGAAACTACTTTACCAGAACTGTTAGATCCTGCTAGCCCTCAGAAACTGATGTACTCTTTATACATAGTGGAGTCTTTAAGTAGATGTAGTACAACGAGTCAACCTCTAACTGTGAATTCTACGTCTTCTGCAGCTTCTCATGAAGGTGGAGGTGATGCAGACGATAATCACGAAGATAAAGAAAAAGATATTGTTTGGTCTACACTGTTTGTTCAACATGGTGGCTTACGACATTTATTTGACATTTTTATGTCTGGGTGTTTGGAACAGGGAGATGGTAGTGAGTGGCAGCAGGACTGTCTCGCTAGTTTACTAAAGCAATTATGTTACTTGGGTGTTATTAAAGAAGAGAAAAAAAGGAGTAAAGCTGATAAATTGCTTGTACCTAAACTTAGTGACGCAATGCTTTCAATGATGAACGTGGATGCTGTTATGTCTCGAATAACGAGTATATTAAACGAAGCATCTTTGCCTAGAGATCCAAATCACTACAAAACGGGACTCTTTGGTAGATCACAAGTTATACATTATACTATGGCCCTATTAGTCTGTTGGGTACACAGTGATGACACAGTAAGACAATATCTTTTTTCATCAGCAGAACCTTTTGGAAAAACTTGGTTACGAAGATTAGTTTTGGAAGATCCTGAACCAGCAGTCAGAAGGGAAGTTTGTACAGCATTATATAGACTGTGTTTAGGTACTACAGGATCTGAAGATGACAATTCAGATATCGCTAGTTTGATTGTACCGATGCTGAATACATTATTAGAACATCTTGTGATAGCAGAAGCAATGCAACCTTCTCATAGGAAACCAGACTTACCCTTACACTTGCATCCAGTGTTGGATGATGGAAAAGAACCATATGGACCTGCTTGCAGAGATTACTTCTGGCTAGTTTGTCGATTAGTCGATTCTCTACCAGAAGAAGCAATCAAAGAAGGTGCAGATGACTCTAACACAACAATAGATCTTGAGGCATTAGCAATAAGAGTGACAGACTCTGTTTTAAATAGAGAACATCTTGAAACTCGTCACAACACTATCGAAGATGATGGTTTAGTAGGATTGTTAAATCTTACTTGTAATATTATGACGCACAATCCATCCTGTAAGCAAGGAAAAATTGGACAAAATTTATTGCACGAGGTATTCGATTTTCTATTCGCATTGCCAAATCCACGATCAAAACACGTTCCAAAGTGCAAAAGTCAGGTTTCCAGATCAGCAGCTTTTGATCTTTTAGTCGAACTTGTGAAATCTGCTCCTGATAATTACAGAATTCTTCATGAAAAACTATTAGCTCAACATAAACCTGGTCCTCATTCCCCATACCCATGGGATTATTGGCCACATGAAGATGGACGATCTGATTGTGGATACGTAGGTCTAACAAACTTAGGTGCAACTTGCTACATGGCTAGTTGTATGCAACATTTGTATATGATGCCGCAAGCACGTGTCTCCATATTAGGTGCGGACTGTAATAGAGCAAATAAACATCAACTCACATTAAGGGAATTGCAGAGGATGTTTGCTTATCTTTTAGAATCTGAAAGGAAAGCGTATAATCCTCGAAGTTTTTGTAGAGTATACACCATGAATCATGAACCTCTTAATACTGGCGAACAAAAAGATATGGCTGAATTCTTTATAGATCTTGTGTCCAAATTAGAAGAGATGACAGCAGATTTGAAAAACTTGGTGAAAACATTATTCTGTGGTGTAATATCCAATAATGTTGTATCATTAGACTGTGAACATGTAAGCAGAACACTAGAAGAGTTTTATACTGTACGGTGTCAAGTAGCTGACATGAGAAACCTTTATGAAAGTTTAGATGAAGTTACAGTTAAAGACACTTTGGAAGGCGATAATATGTATACGTGCTCGCAATGTGGTAAGAAAGCAAGGGCAGAAAAAAGAGCATGTTTTAAAAAATTACCACACATATTATGTTTTAATACTATGCGATATACATTTAATATGGGAACCATGTTGAAGGAAAAAGTGAACACGCACTTCAGTTTTCCGTTAAGGCTAGATATGTCTGGTTATGTTGAGAAAAAATTAATGCCCCAGCACTATCAAGAGGAAAAGAAAGCATCCGAAAAGAAAAAATCTGAAGGTGATCAAACGAGATTGGATAATAATGATGATAAAGATGAAAAGGAATATTATCAGTATGATTTAATCGGTGTAACAGTTCATACCGGTACTGCTGACGGTGGACATTATTATAGTTTTATTAGAGACCGCACATCACCTAATAAAGATAAATGGTTTTTGTTTAATGATGCTGAAGTTAAACCATTTGATCCAAATCAAATAGCCGCTGAATGTTTTGGCGGTGAAATGACCAGCAAAACGTATGATTCGGTTACAGATAAATTCATGGACTTTAGCTTTGAAAAAACGAACTCTGCTTATATGCTTTTTTATGAGTGGTGCGCTGATCCTGGCGACCAAGTGAAAGAGGAAGAAGCTACTGTTTCCAGTCCAAATGGACGACAATCTTCTACATTGGTTCAAAAGAACACTAATAAATTACCACCATTGGAATTAAATAAAGAACTAGAAGATTGGATATGGCAAGATAATATGCACTTCTTACAAGATAAAAATATATTTGAGCACACATATTTTACATTCATGTGGCAAATATGTGGTTATATACCACAAACATTACTCTCTGTGCAACCCGATATAACAGAAATGTCAGCTGATTTGTCAACATCATTTTTCATGGAAACTTTCATTCATGCTAAAGAGAAGCCTACTATGGTACAGTGGGTAGAGTTGTTAACAAAACAGTTTAACAGTTCTGCTGGTGCATGCGCTAGGTTTCTGGAAAGAATGGCTAGCGATTCATGGTGGCCAATTCAAATTCTAGTCAAGTGCCCTAATCAAATGGTGAGACAAATGTTCCAAAGGCTATGCATTCATGTGATACAACGATTGCGCGCTACTCAAGCACCTTTGTATCTTCTTTGCGATGAGGAAAATGATGTTAATACCGTTGGCACTCGGTCATGTGTAACAAGATTCGTGAGAATGCTTCTGTCCCTCATGGAACATGCGAAACAACATCTGAAACACCTCACGGAGTACTTTAGTTTTTTATATGAATTCAGCAAAATGGGCGAAGAAGAGACGCTTTTCCTAATCAGAGTACAAGCCATTTCAACTATGGTGAACTTTTATCTTGGGCATAAAACACATGAATTCGTTGATGCAGTTAGCGAAGAAGAAGAGGAAGAAGAAATTGTTGCTATGCCAACAGAAAAATTGCGACCCGCTTCTTTAGATAAAATGATCACCTTGATAGCAACTTTAGTTGAGCGTAGTAGAGGACCTGATCACAGATTAGCCTTGTCGCCAGCAGACCTTAGTGCTGTTGCAGGAGGTAAAGGATTTCCCTTTTTATATCAACAAACACGAGATGTCATTAATCTTAATCAAACGAGGAACTTGATTCAATCTTTGTGTCGTTGGAACGACAGATTAGCTATACATATTGTAACAATGATATTTCAAGCTATAACAAAACATACAGATGTGTGCCAACCGTTTTTCAAACTTCTCACGTTGTTAACGGAAAGTTCAGGACCAAGTGGTTTACCTTGTATGACTCAACTGATTTTGGGTAGAGTATGGGAAGCAGCCAGAGTTGCACCACATGGAGCATTGGAATGGCTAGCTTTGGCTGTTACAAAAAGCAAACTTGCACATGCCTGGGTGCTACAAGGATTGGACACATGGTTACAACATTTCTTATTGGAACATTCAAATCAAAGAGTTCGTTCTGCAGCCGCTTTTCTTCTTGTATCTTTGGTTCCGTCAACTCACTTTAGGCAAGGTTATCGCAGTGCTCATCGATTAGGTTTAGGTTGCAATACGTCTAGAGAACTCCAACTATCGCCAGAAGCAACTTTAATATTGCATCAAATATACACAGCACTTTTACGGTTATTGCAACCAGCGAGACATTATATTGATATACAAACTCATGGTACAATGAAACTCACTGCCTATTTTGCATTGCTCACCTACTGCGTTGTCTCCAAAACGGAAAAATTAATGGTAAGTGTTCCTTGATATGTTATAATACAATTCCATTGCTATAAATCATTTACTTCTAGTTTGGACAATATTTGAATGATTTATGGACACTGTTTCATCCGAAACTTTCTGAGCCTAGCATTCCAGTGCATCATAATAAGCAAGCTGTATTATTATTTTGGTACCACGTCTGTTCAGACTGTCCAGAAAATGTTGCTCTTATACTTCACAATCCACATATAACTAAAAACATTGCATTTAATTATATACTGTAAGCTAATTTTTATTTTACATGCGAAAAATAATTATATAATTATTCAATCGTATATATATATATACATATGTATATATTATAGGGCTGATCACGAGGATCAAGATGTAGTATTATTTAACAGAGTAATGTTACCTGCTTATTACGGTTTGTTACGACTTTGCTGTCAACAGTCACGCACCTTTACAAGACAACTAGCTGCACATCAGAACATTCAATGGGCGTTCAAGAATATTACACCGCATCCTACTCAATACTCAACTGTAAGATTATGTTTATATCCATTCGTTCAAAAGTCAGTTTCAATCTATGACTAAAATTAAACTTCTTTTTTTATCATAGGCTGTAGACGAGCTGTTTAAATTGATGCAATTATTAGTAGCCAGACATCCTGATCAAACAGAACAAGAGGAATCTGAAATCGCATCGTTCAGAAGAGGTACATTGTCTTCATATTTACAAGGATTAGATGGGCGATCATGTTGGGCTACACTCATCTCTGCATTCCGGTATAATATTCAATAAATACTATTGCTAATATAATGTAATAACATAACTAGTACGGTTTAATATTAACATACTTATATTTACATTTTACAGTATTTTAATTGAAACAGACGATGATCGTTTATACGTTGTGTATAATGGAGGATTAAGTATGGCTCTGGAAGCATTTCACATGTTGCATATTATGTATCATGAAGCGACTGCGTGTCATGTGGCTGGCGATCTAGCTGAATTAATAGCGATTATCGTAGAACTCGTACGGTGTATTAGAACTGCTAGAGAAGGTCCCGATGGAAGAAATATATTAGCGAATTGCAAAGAATGGCCGGAAATTCTTCGTAAATTAGCAACGCTGTTGAACACGTACAATCCTCCGGATATGAGAAATCTTGCTATAGATCTTTTGAAGGAACTTGTCATGCTTGTACCTGCTGAAGCTATTTTAATTTTAGCACCATTGCTTTCACACTGCCATGCAGCTCTTCAAGAGTCTCACGCCGCTGTTCCACCTGGTCCGTATCTTCCAAGAAGATCTACTCCTCCAGGAAAGATGCCTACTCGTCCTGCCAGACCAATGGTACAAATGGCGGTACCGCATTCCCAATTGGAAGCATCAAAAGGAGTGGACCCGGAATATGACAGTGCTTTGCTCGAGTTTTATTTGCCATATCATGAACTCATTGATGTGATGTGCAGATTGGCAATCAATAATGATTGTATGACAGATTCATTGGTTAATTTAAGCGCTATGTTAGGGTTTGAAGGTAGGTGTCTGGGTACCTGTTATTTAAAAATTTATAGAACTTCATGACATTACAGCGAAACGATTCAATTGCAGGTGTTCCATTACATTTAGCGTTATTCCCTCGATTGTGGTTAGACGTTCATGCTGCTACACACATAGACAGAAAGCATATTGGATCTCTCCTTTGCTCTTCTTATACAGTGGACTATGTAGATGCAGTGTTATTGGATGAAAGATCATCATTAGGAGTACCAGCAATACATGCTTTTCTTAAAACCTTCTTTCCTAAGCTTTCTAATGATGTGTTAACCGAACAAACTTGTTTACTTATCGATAACTTAGTTAGTTCTATGGTGGCAATGGTTGAGGCAGTAGACATTCAAGCATCCGCGCATAGATTAACCGGGGATTTAAGAGCATTGGCTCTAGTCTACAGTAGCAGTTCAAGACTGAAACCACCAGCTACATTGTTACCAGCCTTAGAAACACTATTAACTCGGACCAGAGCCATTAAAGTGAAAGAATCCAGTCAACAGGAAATAGAGGCGCCTTCAAAAAAACGGAAGTTCACTGTTAACGAAGATAGTGAAGCAACTGATAAAGTTTTACATCTGCCGATCAAAGAACTTAACGAACAGAAGAACGTTTCCGACGTAGACACCGAAGAAAAGGACAAAACAGAAGGAAACGACGTAACTTCCTCTGAATCTGGAGATGACAAGACCATATCAAAACACAAGAGTAACAGTCAAATAGAAAATATTCCAACAAGCATCAGTACAACATCGCCAAGTTTATTTGATACAGTGACAGTCAACAATTGTACAAGCCAGTTAAGATGTTCCTTGACTAATGTCTCCTGGCTTGAAATGCTGGAGAAAACCATTGTCGATCTGCAGATGATTGTGCAATTACAAACAAAGAGCAACTAATTTCTGTAAATGTTTCCAAACATGGTGCTTTTAACGTAGAAGCATACAATACAGGACTAAGTTTTGTGTACGACCGTTTCGTTCTTTGGAAAACAGCAGAACGAAATTTGAGTTGTACATCTTCTGGATCTAGAAGAACAAATGTTTAGTGTGTTTGTGTTCTATAAAACAAGATAAATATGTTTCTGCGTATGGATTGAATATGATTTATTTTCCAAATATAGGTGAATAAGATACTTTTATTGACTTAAATTATACTAACTGCGGAAAAAATGAAGGTAAAAACAGATCGTGAATCAGGACTGAAGAATTTCTCCTTTTATATAAGAAATGTTCGTTAGTGCTGTGAGATCACTTATCTCTTGGCAATATTTTGCGTATGCAATTGTGTACGGTAATATAAGCCGCTCAGTATTCATTAACAGGAATTGCAAAAGCTTTGAGCTAATTTAGAAGATGCAATTAGCTTTGTTAAAACTAATCGTTTTCCTATACTTGACTCCATTAATGACAGGTATCACAGGGTTCTTTAAAATTCCCATAGTAAAGTATAAGTCATGTTTATTTTTTCGATCAGCTTCTCCAAGCTGTATAGATTTAAATATTGTTCACATGCCAATTAGAAACATTACATTGACTTCTCATTGTACCATACTTTCCATCTTACTTTTAAATGTTTTCAAAGAGGTTCACTCATGTAATTTATAAAAGAATACTTTTATCGGTTAAATCATTGCACACGTTTTTTCAATTAATTTACGTATGATAGAATTGTATTTTTATTTATTTTTCTTTTTTGTAAGTGAATCACCCGAACGGACCTGGTAGATTTATCTTGAATAATACAAATATATTTTGTTGCGTTTATTTTCAAACACATTCGTTTATATTTCACGTAACAAATTGCGATCCTTTTGATTAACGAAATTGTATCTAGCATATTGTATTGCAAATTAAATAATCTATTCTGTATTTTTAATCATTTCGATTTCTTTCGGTAAATATAATAATATTTAACTTTCGTTCTAATCTTTATAATTACGACTTTTTAACTGCAATGATTACAGAAATTCATAATGTTCATAGAATTGGTGCACTTCTTCCATGTTCTCTTTTCTATAACAATTCAATCTCACATCACAAATGAACAGTTGTGAAATTTTTTTTAAGAGGTCATCGGGGATCGTTCAAAAGGAAAACAGAAAAATGTTCGCGCGACGAAATCGACACGAAACTGAAAACATATCCATACAGAAGATCCAGACAGTTTCATACATGAAAGAAAAATTTGTATTTATATTTTCTTTTTTCTTTTTCTTTTTTCTTTTTTTTTCATTTTTACTAACTTGCTCTTACAAACAAATAACTTTGCCGCTATTTTTGACACTACGTTCGATAAAAAATAAAGTCAGTCTAATTAAGCTTCAAATACTGACTCGTTTAGTGATTCTTCGTTCATAATACAGATGCGTGCTAGAGTCTGAGTCAGCCTAGCTGCTCGGTGATACAGTATTTCGTGTTTAAATGTACATTTTGAGAAATTTATTCTACTAATTGAAGACATACAAAATATCAAATAACATGTGATTCTCAAGAGGTGCATTGATCCAGCATATTTCAACGAACTAATTCAAGCATATTTTAACGCGATCACCTAATTAAAATAAGTTTCTCGGAATGTCGAACTCTATAATATTCGGAACGCTGTTTCACCTAGCTCTATGGCCTAGTACGTTGTTCGAGAAAAAGATATAATTTATTGTATACGTTTGTATACGTGAATGTATGCACATAATGCAAATAATAGCCCAGACGCACGTTCTCG